ATCACTCTGTGATAGTTGTTTCATAAATGACGTATTCTATATAATATTTTCTTTAGACACCCAAGTGTCTTCACTTTTATCAAAACCTAGCCAGCGAACCAAAACCTTATCTTTTTTACGCTTTAAAACTTTTTCAACAAGGTAAATATCTCCTGTAGAAGATTTTAACATCTCATGACCATAAAAACCTCCATGTAAAATTTGACCTTTATTGTCCTTCAAAATATATGTTTCTGGATATGTCGGTTGCACTCTATAAACAGTGAAAACTTCGTTAGTCCAGTTCGGTAGATATTTCTTACTAAATATCCCCTTATATTTACTTATACGAACTTTATCACCTTCAACAAATTTATGTGGTAAAATCTTTTCAACCTTTGGGCGTGTATTTCTTTTAATGTTGTTCAAGACTTGTTCTGAATTATTTTCATTTACCTCACTTGGGGTCATACCTATGGTTCTATGAAACCTATTGTTGTAGTTGTTCAACAAATCTCCAAGTATATTAATCCATACATAAGAACCTCTATTTGAAAATTCCTTAAACAAATCTCCTTTTATTGTTCTATTAAATCGTTCGATAATTGCAGCCTTTTTTTCAGATTTTGTTGAATAGTGATTTATATTATATTTTTTCATTAGCACTGAAAAGTCCTTATTGAAATATTCTTTTCCATCGTCAGTTTGCAAATGTTTGATAATATTATTATCCCTCCGGATAACTGTCTCCATAGCCTTGGTCACACTTTTTCCGGTTTTATCCTTCAAAGGCATGGCATCAGCAACTTTTGTGAAGCAGTTTATCACTGTCAGTATATATTTAAATCCCTTATTAAATTTACTGTAAGGTATCATTTCAATTAGATCCGCTTGGTATAAGTCATTAATTCCTTTTAGTATTGTATTCCTCCTTGGAAAGTTTTTCCTTGCAGGTTTGTGAATTTCAGAAACAATTTGCCATTTAGAAACCATAATTAATTTTAACATCCGTTGTACAGGTCAGTCGTAATAATGGACATCTCTGATAATTATCAATTGGTTATATAGGTCAAGGTCATTTGAAATATGTGTAAAAAAGAGGGGGGCAGTGTATAATGCCCCCCTCCTTTTTACGGGGAGGATATTGGGATAATCTAGGACAGGAAAAGTTTGGATGTATTAGGTTAATTTGTTACAATTGAATAGTGTCCAAAAGGAAGTGTATCAATACCATTTTCGAGTATATATCTTTTGTTATCATTGGATGTTAATGCAGTCTTCTCTTGCACAATTGTATATAGTCTATGGTTAAAGCTTCTGATTGTTTTGAAACTTGCAACATGAACTTGGTTTTCAAATAAACACTTTTTAAAATGTTCAAATTTGAGTTTCTTCTTCAAATATAAACTTTTGATTCCTTTTGCCTTTTTTATTACACCAATATCACTGTCAGTACTTCCAGTGTATAATTTTAATGAGTATAGCTTCGACATCAGTGCTACTACTTCTTCCAAAGGGATTCCATTTGTTTCGTCTTTGAACTTTCCTAACACCTTTTTGTGTTTACCATTGTCATAGTTATGATGATCCCTCGGGTAGTCAGAAAAGTCGAAATCGTCTTTATACATAAATGTTCGTAAATCTTCATACATATCATGAGTTTTGATCCAATAAAGGAATGCGTCGGTATCCATATATATAATTCCAATATTGTCTCTTCCGTAAAATGAAACCATCTTGTTATAATGAAAGTCGTACATGTGTGTTTTTGAAATGTCAAGTATACACATACCAACATACATAGGTCTATCCATTTTAATAGTAGTTTTGTCCATTGACACACAAACAAGATTTTCATTTATGATAATAGATGATTTAAAATTTGGTTGCCTTACAAGTTTTTCTACCTTTTTGGGATCCGATACTAACTTAACATTTTTATGTTTTCTTTTATTTTCTAAGGTCTTTCCAAATATCGCATTATTCATCAGCTTAAAAAAGTCCTTTTGGAAAGCTGATGATGCTGCAGCTCTTCTTTTTGTGTTTGAGTCAATATATGTTTTTAACCAACATGATTGATTAAACTGTAAAACACGGTGAACTTTTTTTAATTTTAGACCGAGTTCAATGGCTTGTTGGACAACCCAAAAATGGGCAACATAGCGTTTCTTGTCGTTAAGCGTCATCATCAGCTTAGGGTGTTTTCCCTCTGGTGGTATTTCGGATTTAGCTAATAGAGGTAAATCATAGTGATGATCATGAAGTGTGGATGGGTATTCAAAATCACACTCCATTATAAATCCGGTGTCGCCATTTTTTGGGATAGTTGTCACATCACCTAATAATATTGGATCAATCCATTGAAAATTACCATATGGAAGTGGGTTTGACATTGCCCACCCATATAAGTTATTAGCGTCAAAATACCCTAGATAAACTGATGGGTCCTCCTTCTTGAAGCCTGGAATGTGTTTATTATTTGCTTTTACATGTCGTGTAACACTCTGGGTAAGCCCTCCACGGATACTAGATTCAATCATGAGAACCATATCAATGTCTGTTAACAGCTGTAATGTACATTTTGTTTCTTTTAACATAGCTTGCCAAGCTAATCCAGGTGAGGTGTAAGAATGTAGTGGGTCTAATCCATAGGCCGCTATACAGGTGTTACGGAATTCCTCCATTATATCGCAAAGAAGTGTTACATCTAACTTCACATAAAAGTCACTATACTCGCCTAAGGTGTTCATTTTTAACTCGTTCCATACCTGGCAAGCATGTTGATAGTCTTCAGGGTCAATATTAGAATCATTTAACTGACTGTAAAATGCCTCAATGGGTGGCAGTGACGTCTCGTTGAATCTTTCAGGATTATCAATATAATCATAAGGGTACACTCCTTTACGAAGAACCAAATCCATTTTATCAGATGCAACAATCTTTTGAGTTTCAATAAAGTGTTCTCTTTGCAAATTAGCTGTCAATTTCTCTAAACTAGAAGCCATGAATCTAAAAGAGTCAACAAACCTTAATTTTATTTTACCCACTTTTTTCGAAAAACTTATAAATTTCTCCGTGCTTGTAGCTAAAACATCAATCGCCCCTTTGTCCCTACCTAATTCAGGAATTATGAAATGTGAGTCATATCCACTTAAATTGTGGAACACTACAGGGATAAACTTTGGTAATTTAAAATTAATGTTACACCTGTTGCAAGCAGGGCCTTTGTAAAAACCAGTCAGGTGATCATGATCACGCACACGCCTGTTGTCTTCTGTAAAACTACAGTCACAAAGGTAACATCTATCCGCACTTTCATGGAATGTCAATTCATCATGTTGAAGATTGTTCATCGGAACTACATAACTATACAGTTTTTCTACCTTATTAGCTATATCATACAGGTTATCTACAAATGTCTTAGCAGCATTTTCACCTCGATATACAAGTGGTTGGGTTGTTAACCCATACCGACGTAGATGATCTTCTTCCAAAGTTGATTTAAGCATTAAACAAAAGCTGTTTGGTTCATGAAATTGAAATTTTTTAATTTTACTTTGATCACACTCATCTATAACTAAAGGAACTAATGATGACTCAAAGTCTGCATATATAACAATTGGTATTCGATATTGTTGAGCGGTTTTGTTGAATTTAATAAAAGCTCTATTAGGGGGAGGTAATTTAACCCTTACTTCATCCTTACTATTGCAGAGACGTTGGTGGTCAAGTAACCATTCCTTACCACCCATCTGAAATGGTTTGGCAACATAGCAAAAACAACGTTTGCAAATAGTGAGTCTCATCTTCCTTTTGGATAGTTGTCTTGATAAAAGTGCATTAAAGTTTTTGATGTATACATAATGTGAGATTTTACCATTTGTGAGGAGTAAAAGATCAGTATGGTCTTTACGCTCATGAGATGTAACCTGAATGGGAAAAACATTATTAGACTCATCCAATCCATAGACATTAACTGATGAATTAAGATTCTGTTTTTCAAATCTCTTGATATCTTTTAAAGACACTGGGTAAGACAAACCTGAGAAATTATATTTATGAGCCACTTCACTATAATACCGGCTAGGTCTATAGGCATTCCTATCTTCAACAAACTTTGCTAAAAGTGCATATTTAAAACATTCATTGTCCTCATTTTGAACATTTATACAAGTTCTTGTATCAGCAATTTTTTTAGGCAGTGGAATGAAACTACTACCTCTATCACCATATCCATGTTTATGTACACGTATATCTAAACTGTCTACACTTAGCAAAGACCACCCAGATCCTCTTCCTTCATGTTCAGATATTTTAACAACAATTTCTTGTAAGCAACTGTCGACTTCAGCCTCTATATCACTGGTTACCATGATCGATTTATTTCGTGTTATAAACCCCCGCGGGGAAACCTCATTTTGCACATTTGTAAATCTAGTGTCCAAGAGCAAGCCGAATTTGATAAAATTAAGTCTGGTTAGTTCCTTTTCTAGTGTTTCTATGATAAGGGGTTTAGCTTTTAAAATAAAATCTGACAATTCATAATTGTTATTAGAAATTTTGAAATGGTTTACTATTGCTTTAGGAAATGCTTGAGCTAATATTTCTACTGACAATTGTTGGTTTGGTGGTGCATACTGTATAACTGTTGATCTATTCTGTTGCAAGAAGGGGTCTTCAACGAAATCTTCATATTCCATCGGTGCTGAAGATTCATTAGGTCTATGTAAGAGTTCATGATGAATATTTAAGAGCAATTCATCCTCAAAAGACTCCCAACAATTTTCACATTGATACATTTTTGCAGGTTTAAGACACTACTTAGAAAACTATCTACATTACACACTGCATGGTTGTATTCACAGTAATGATATGGGTGGGGCTCAGGACTCATATATATAGCACAGTGTATAACCCCCACTCCATTTTTATTCAATGAAGGGGCGTGTTAAACCCCCCACCAATGGCTTAAGTATTTTATAAATAACACCTGAAATAGGGGTTTAGCATACACATTCACAATGCCTCCTACAGACCACACATACCTTACTGGAGTAGAGCCCAGAATCTTACCGACTGATTTTGATGAAGCAGGGAATGTGGAAGAAAACAATACAGAAAGTGACGAGGACTTGCAAGAGATGCTAGAAGAACAAGTGGACGAAGAGTTTATTAATGAACAAATTCAACCCACTGAAGACACACCAATTAAAGAATTTCATTCGGACTATTGTGAAACACCAACGATTCCAGTTCAAGCAGATGAAGTTGAAAATGGTGAAAACAAACTTTGTCGAATATTACAGTTTTGTGGTAATGTTCGTAGAAGATTATCATTTAGTTCAGAGAGTGAATCATAAAACATGTAGCTATTTTATTGTTTTTTAAAAATTCTTCAGTTTGACCTTGACCTAATTGTTTGGGCACAGTATTACGCTTTAACAATATTCTATGACTGTATTGGTCTTAATTATGAGTACCTAAAATGATTTGGAATATTAACAATAGATAAGGTTTTCATAAGAAAAACTAAACATAAAATTCAAGCACATTTTATTTTTGTCTAAATAGAAAAAACAAATAATGACAAAATATAAAATATATTGTAAACAGTTTTTGTATTGAACTAATATGAAGTAAATTTTGTTTTGCTAAATAAATGCTATTTTGATTTAATTTGAAAGTCCAGGAATAATTTAAAGTTTAAGTATAAAGATAAGAGTTCAAAAACAATAGAATATATATATATATGGAGGAATTAGCCTGAGAAAGTTACTACAAATAAGTATATATATGTATATATTTTACCTTGAATTGTTAAGTTATACAGCATGGCATTGAAGAAATATAATCTTTATTGTACAATATGAACGATTAAAATGTTAAATATAACTTGGTCTAAATATATTATACACAAAACTTTAGGAACACATTATAAGGTTATGACAAATGTGTTCCTAAACCTTTACGATAAAATAGGTTGAAAAGCTCAAGGTCACTCTTTGAATGCAAAAATTGGGAACGCATTTGTTATGATACAACAAATGCGTTCCCAATTTTTGCATACTAAAGGAAAATAAAGAAAATAATAAAAACACGTTAAAACTAAAAACCAATTTACAATGTTACTGTAACCAATCCCGAAGACCGATCACGAATTAAGTAGTATCGGTGTGGTGTATTCGGGATGGTCATGCCTCTTGGTAATTTAAGGCGGAACCTGTCATTTCCTTCTTTTAAAATGACTTCACCACTAGGTGTCATCATTAGAATTTCTAACTTTTTGTTTTTGGGCAACCTATTAATTCTGGTTTTTTTGGCAATAATTTGTGGTGGACGACAGGGTCGAGCAAAGCCTGACGTCCGTGGTTGGCTGGGTAAGATCTTGTTTATCACAACAACACGGGAGGTGCTCGGTGCCGGATCAGATAAGCAAGATTTTTCCTGAGCCTGATTTTGTACAATAATTGATGGTCTTGATCTTTCAAATGATGGAGGATTTTCTGTGACAGGATTATTATTAACAATTTTAGGTTGGGCGGGTACCATCCTGCTTTTCCCCTTAGTGTGGAGGCTACACACATTGGTATCGGAAAAGCAGGATTTTTCACAGCGCTCACCTTTTTTCACCCCTTTTTGGAAAACATAAGTACATTGAGACTTGATCTTAAATGCTGCTCGTCTTTTTGCCATAAGTTTTTGCATTTTTTCAGAAGGGGTTTTTTGTGAGGGAAGGGATTCTTTTGAGGACTCGGGTTTTGCAAATAGTTTTCTTACAACAGCAGGTGCAGCAGGGAGGGATTTGGGTGGAGGTAATGGAATGGTTATTTCAGGAGAATCTATGTTGGTAATCTGGTTTGAGGATGGATTTAAATTAGGAAGAGTTAGGTTAGGTGTTTGAGGTTTTGGAGATGACTTATCTTTGTTAGGAGATGACTTGTTTTTGAAAGGAGACGGCTTATCTTTGGGAGGAGATGGCTTTTCAGGAGATTTGATAGGGGATAGTAAGGAGACAATCAAGGGAGAAAGTAGCATTGATAGGGGGGACATATTTCTTTGTTTTCGGGGGGATGACGTAGAAGACGAGGACGAGGATGATGAAGACAAGGAGTCAAAAGACGAGGATGAAGAAGAAGAAGACGATGGCGATGATGGAGGCCTAGGTTTCAAAGTGTTGGCAGCAGAAGAAGAAGGTCCAGGCTCTTGAATATTCTTGACGATAGAAGTTGACGATCCAGGCTCTGGAGAAATCTTGGAGACAGGCAGAGGCTTTGAAGTGTTGGCAGCAGCAGAAGGTCCAGAAGAAGTGTTGGCAGCAGCAGAAGAAGGTCCAGGCTCCTGAATCGTCTTGGAGACAGTACATTCTTTCCTTATTTCCCCATTCAATGCCTGGAGAAGTTTGGACCTTTTCACTCCAGCCACCGGCTTCATCGGCTTAGTGGTCTTTCTGAAGCAGGGGTCCATGGCTCTTCTGCAGGCAGGCAACAGAATGATGTTATTAACCAAAATGCTCTCACATATATACCCACTCCAAGTGGTGGGGGATATAGGTATAGGACAGAGTGGGGGAAGTTAGGAGTGTTGTAAAAGGGTGGGGAGTGGGAAATAATTATATCTAATAGGAAGAGTTTGGCTATGGAATGATAAACTATTTTCAAAGATAAAGTTTCAACTAACCAATCATAAAAGTAGGTCAAGGTCATCCTCTATTAAAAAAAAACCGAAAGCCATGCAAGAAAAATAGTAGTGCAAAGATTCAAACTACCAACACCAAAACACAACTACTGGTGCATAGTATCTACAAGACTATCTACAAGTAAGACTACAACAGTACATGCATGAAGAACCTGAAAATGATTAGACATATAGACAAGATTTGAATAGGGTATGGAGATCTAAGTACAATTGGTTTTCATGCCATTTTGCACTTTAAGGAAACACATAAGGTTTTCTTGCCTCTATGTGTGTTAAGGAAGGATAGAGTTTAACCTGAAAATGATTAGACATATAGACAAGATTTGAATAGGGTATGGAGATCTAAGTACAATTGGTTTTCATGCCATTTTGCACTTTAAGGAAACATCAGGTTTTCTTGCCTCTATGTGTGTTAAGGAAGGATAGAGTTTAACCTGAAAATGATTAGACATATAGACAAGATTTGAATAGGGTATGGAGATCTAAGTACAATTGGTTTTCATGCCATTTTGCACTTTAAGGAAACACATAAGGTTTTCTTGCCTCTATGTGTGTTAAGGAAGGATAGAGTTTAACCTGAAAATGATTAAACATATATACAAGATTTGAATAGGGTATGGAGATCTAAGTACAATTGGTTTTCATGCCATTTTGCACTTTAAGGAAACATCAGGTTTTCTTGCCTCTATGTGTGTTAAGGAAGGATAGAGTTTAACCTGAAAATGATTAGACATATACATTGGAGGTCAACCTGCAAACAAAATAAACAACAAGTTAGTTAACCAGAAAACAAAACAAGTGAATATAGTAATGCAACAACAAGTTCGTTAACCTGAAAGGAAAAAACAAGTAAACATAGCAATTCAACAAAAGATTAGTTATTATTAACCTGAAAAAGAAATGAGCTGATATATGAATGCGGGCCCAACATTGCATAAGTTAGCTCACCGTTCATCACTTGATGTGCAGCTTGCTTGTGCACATGATGTGTACCTGGCAAGAGCACGTGATGAACAGTGAAGTTTGAAAGAACTCCAACTAGTTTTATGCGCTCTGGTGGGGGGCCGGGCTATATGGGGGTGTGGTCTACTCAGCCAATCACAGGACAGGTGGTGTAGTGGGGAGGGCTCACTGGGGGCGTGGTCTACTCAGCCAATCAACGGACAAGTGGTGTAGTGGAAGTCTCGCAATAATGAAGCAAAGGGGGGGGGGGTGTAACTAACACGTGCAGCTACTAATCATATTTGTATCAATCCAAAACAATATACATGCTTAAAACTGAAGTAAAGTCCATTAAAAGGTATAAGTTGTTCGCTTAAGAATGGTATATAATCAGAGAAACAATTTTCTTCAGGCCTCAAGAACAAGATATTAAATCAATTAAATTACTAACCAAGCTAATTACAATATGAGAATACAACAACATTTAGCAGACACCAATATGTAACCCATGCAATATATTTAATTATATATGTAGATTTCAACTAATATATCACATCATTTCAGCTACGCAAACACAATATGGAACAGAGAATAATTAGACCTACCTATTTCAGTAGAAATCAGGAACACTTGGTGTATAAAGTTAGGCCACGATAACTCTAGAAAAGAAAATGCACATTAAATTTATTAAGTATTGTAACCATTTTATGCATTTATTTTTGAAAAAAAAATCTTAAGCAAGCTATATTTTAATTTCAAATTATCAGAAGATACATAAAACGGTTTTGTTATTGCTTAAAGACCTATGAGATAGTTTGATTATTGTTTTCAAACCATTCCCAATAACAATCAAATAAGGAAATCACTGACAGTATTTTCTATCTTAAACAATCGTATAAGAATCATCTTCATCAAGCTACATTTTAACAAAGTCAAAATTCAAACCTTTGAATGATTACAAAAACAGTTTTATTACTGTCACAAGAAGGAAAAAGTTATCAGTTATTTTCAATCATATACAATTGCAATTCCCAATAAAAATCAAATAAGAAAATCACTAACATTATTTCCATTATAAACAATCGTATAAGGAAACACCTACATTTTAACAAAGTCAAAAACATATATTAAATTAATCGAAAGATCACAAAAACTGTTTTATTATTTAAAAACCTAGCAGTGTGAAGCGATTCCCAATAAAGCTACATTTTAACAAAGTCGAAATTCAAACCTTTGAATGATCACAAAAACAGTTTTATTACTGTCGCAAGAAGGAAATAGCCATCAGTTATTTTCAATCATATACAATTCCCAATAAAAATCAAATAAGAAAATCACTAACATTATTTCCATTATAAACAATCGTATAAGGAAACACCTACATTTTAACAAAGTCAAAAACATATATTAAATTAATCGAAAGATCACAAAAACTGTTTTATTATTTAAAAACCTAGCAGTGTGAAGCAATTCCCAATAAAGCTACATTTTAACAAAGTCGAAATTCAAACCTTTGAATGATCACAAAAACAGTTTTATTACTGTCGCAAGAAGGAAATAGCCATCAGTTATTTTCAATCATATACAATTCCCAATAAAAATCAAATAAGAAAATCACTAACATTATTTCCATTATAAACAATCGTATAAGGAAACACCTACATTTTAACAAAGTCAAAAACGTATATTAAATTAATCGAAAGATCACAAAAACTGTTTTATTATTTAAAAACCTAGCAGTGTGAAGCGATTCCCAATAAAGCTACATTTTAACAAAGTCGAATTTCAAACCTTTGAATGATCACAAAAACAGTTTTATTACTGTCGCAAGAAGGAAATAGCTATCAGTTATTTTCAATCATATACAATTGCAATTCATAATAAAAATCAAATAAGAAAATCACTAACATTATATCCATTATAAACAATCGTATAAGGAAACACCTACATTTTAACAAAGTCAAAAACGTAAATTAAACTAATCGAAAGATGACAAAAACTGTTTTATTATTATTTAAAAACCTAGCAGTGTGAAGCGATTCCCAATAAAAATCAAACAAGGAAATCACTAACATTTACTTCCATCTCAAACAACCATATAAGAAAGAAGCAATTTATAATTCATCAAATGATCACAAAAAGCAGATATGTTACGATTTTAGACCTAACAGTATGTGAGGTAATTCTCGATAAAAATCAAATAAGAAAGAAGCAATCTATTCCAGCTATATTTTACTAAAGTCAAAAGACTTAATTTAGAAGTTATCAAATGACCACAAAAAGCAGTTATGTTATGATTTAACACATAACAGGATGAGAGGCTATCCTCAATAAATATCACTAACAGTTTCTTCCATCTTAAAAATTTGAATCAAACTATATCTATATATAAAGCCAAAAGCACCCATAAACTTTTGAGAAAACTAAAAGTCACACCCCCATTATTGAGCGAAGCTCACTTTCCCTCACTTTGTAACTTCTTTATAAGAGCATCAGAATGTAATGGCTTGACCAATTAATATGAAATTTGGCCAACAGCTAAACAATACTGAGTACAATGTTTTGGTAAAAAATATTTGCGAATTTCCTTCTGGATTTTATTTTACGGGTCACGCAATTTCGCTTGTTATTTTAATGTAAGTTGAAATAAAAATTATATTGGGTTTATGACATATGGGTTTATCTCATTTCATTTAAATAAGATAAACATATATTAATTGTATGTAACTGTTTTGTTTACATTTCAATGTTTACTTTCATCCTAGGTTAAAGTTGGAATGTAACAGTTTATCAATGGAAGTAACAGTTTTGCTATATTTGTTTGTTGCTCAAAGGCCCAACGTAATATTGGTCGTCGCACCAATAATGCAAATATTGTAAGAGAGTGGTGTCGTGAACAAAAAGAACCAGATGAAGCTGATAATGATAGGCAGATAGCTAATCAATTCCAACATGAATTAGATGCACTAAAATTTTAAACTTTGGACTAACTGTCATCAGCAACGACTAACAGCTTCAAATCAATTACCAATTTGTTCCCGTTGTCGTTCAAGTGCAACGTAATTCACGGCGTTAAATAATATGGATGTGTCAAGTGCCCCGAACGAATTAACTGACCTGGTGATTGTAGAACAAATTTTGATTGCACGAGTACATCCTGCTATGCACATTTACAAAGTACAAGCAAATGGTCAGGATGGCCAGTTTCACTACAAAGGTACAGTATGAACTATCAGATAAATTTGTCATTCTTTAGAACTTAAATAATATCGGGCAAACAAACGGTGCATCTGTTGAAAGGGAACATATTGTAGGGTGTTTGCTGCTTTAGCCATTGACAATCTTTAACTAATGCTTCGCTCATTTATGCGTCTAAAGTGTAACGGCAGACCACCTTAGTATTAGCGGGAAGTCTCAAATCAAAGAAATAAAATTACCCAAACTTAAATTACGCAACACAGGCTATCAGTTAGGCAACAGTTTTCTTTAATTCTCAATGCTGTAAAAACTTTGTTGTAACATGTTAACCCAAATTGAAGCAGATCGTTTAGCATTCATTGGAAGTTATCA